ACTGGGGGATCAAATATTGCAGCGCACTACAACGGAATGCGATCTAGGAGTGGTAGTGCAGGAAGATGTGGGCTGTTCCCGTCAGGCCGAGAAAGCCTCCAAAAAAGCTAACCAAAACCTTGGCCTTTTGCGGAGGGCATTCGGGCGCTTCGATCCTTTCATCTTTTCTCAGATGCTCAACGCCTACATTCGGCCTCATTCTGAGTACGCCATCCACGCCTGGCAGCCATGGAAAAAGCACGACCTTACCGCTCTTGAACTGCCACAACGAAGGACGACCAAGGACCTAAAGGGCCTGTTTCATCTCTCTTACCGATTGAGGCTGAAAACCCTCGGGGCCTACGGTGGACAATATCGATGTCTGCGTGGCGACTTGATAATGACTTATATGATCCTGCGGAATCCAAACCATTGTTGTCGTCACCTACTAAAGCCGAATAGCAATACAACACTCAGAGGACACCATCTAAAGCTGGCCACACAATACAGCCGGTTGGAATGCCGCCGGGATTTCTTTTCCCTTCGTGTGTGCCAACACTGGAACGCTCTTCCCACATACGTTGTTTCTTCTCCCACGTTATCGCTACTTAAAAGACTTCTGGATGATTCGCTTATCCACCTACATTACGCTATATAATCAGAGATGTCCACGTTGAACAAACGCGAAAAAAACGGTGCTCATTCTCAGCTTTTGTGCTTCACTATTTACACACTGCTGTTGTGGAATATAGTTTCGGATATATTACAACTGCATTCATCAGTTTACCCCAGTCCAAGAAAGCGGCGCACGAGTAAGCGTTAGTCGTTTCTCTTGTTCTTAAGATCTGCCCTACCCATATTACTTCCCGTATTACTCTACAGTAACAATTCAGTACACATTCTACAACGTTTCTTTGAATAATGGGCACTTGAATTCACTAGACGCTTAAATTGACGATTTACACTTATGTTTACTTTCACTTTAACCATCTTACGGGACTTTTAAAACAATCGCTTTTTTACCTGTAATATATCATCGTTCATCGTCATTCCTTATGCATTTATCTTGGATTTACAGTCTGTACTACGTATACTTCAATGAGGTCACCTGTGTAAAGCCAATTTCGCCAACACTATTTTTTATTTTGAAGTTTCACCACAACCATCTTACGGGACCTGTTAAGCATTAGTTTTTTTTACTCATATAAAAGCATTGATCCATTGAAATCAGATAGACTTAATCTGGTTGGGTAGTGGAACTCTGCACAATGTGGTTCGCGGCTATCAGCACAATCACTAAGCCATTAAGCTCAGCGAGTAGCGCCTGACCCAGCGGCTAGAAAATGGTTCAGATACTTCTTTTAACCATGGCCTAATCATCCTCCTGCAAGACGAGCAGGTGAATATCAACCTGTTTTGATGAAGAGTGCGCTGACCAAATTGTTGCACTCCACATGGTGCTTCAGCATCGCCATACTTACAAACAAGTTATCATGGAAGTCCTTCTTAAGTAAAAGTTTACCTTTGATTCTGTTGACTGTGCCTACTTGCAGTGGTTCCAGACCTAGAAAACCGTGCCAGTGAATTTCCTTCTTTCGTAAATTTCTGCGCCACATAACGTCAATATCCGTGTGAAATTCTACAGACTGCTTTCTCTTGACTTCTCCGCAACAGATAATCGGCGCTGGAGCTTTAATGTTACTTCCTATCTCCAGAACTTCGTCATCAAACTGATGGCGAATAGCTCTCCTGCAATCCTTAGATTCCTTTGACATCAAAGTTCTGGTTAGTCGACTTACTTTCGAACCTAGATTATACAGACGCCATAGAACCCGTTGGGTCAGACACAAATACCATGCTAACGAACACAAGCTACCGAATAAGTCGGCATGTAGTAGTATACAATCTGGCGTAGTCATTGAACCTTCGAAATGTAAAGTAGTGTGACAGGTGTGAGCCGACTCATCAGTGGTTCACACTATCGCTGAATAACCACCCAAATTTGTCATTGGGTTCATTCCTTTGTGTATCCGTACAACTTCTGATAGTCACATCATCAGAGGGACCATCGGAAAATATTGCTAAGACTCTCGTTTCTGTTCAAAGCATTAGTCCTTCATGGAGCTGGCGAGACAAAAGCTAAGTAGTTAAGGGAAATGTCTACAACACCGCAATGCGACGATTGTTGCGGTACGAATAATATACCTGACTTCTACGCGCACGCAGCATAGTAAGAGAGCGAGCATACTCGATCACCGACGCCTGCCATCTATTGCCTATATCAAGTGAGGGGAACAGCTGTTGAAAGTGGATTACATGTTCTATACGTTAGTGAACTCCTTGTCTCAGCGTGGATAATGGAGCAATGGTATATTACGGGTAGAAAATACAAAAGCCTAACAAGTCCCGTAGGATAGCCAGATTGTTGCGCCTATTTACATCAAACCTCGAGGCGGCCATGCAATACGTAGTAGAGATATATGAAGAGAAACAGTAAAGTCAGCTGGGGTTTGTGCTTGTCGTCTTCCTGGTAGAGCTACCAGGATTGACCACTCTGGTTGCTGCAGTCGACTTGATTGTTGGCGAAACATTTTCTCTCTCCGTGTGTCCAGTGCCTGGAATGCCCTTCCGACTTACGTTATCCTTGCCCCTACATTAACGCTTTACAAAAAAACGCCTTGATGAAACGCTTTCAAACTTGCATTACTTGATATCGTCCGTTCCACTTGGAGGACGAAATAACGCAAAACCTAACCATGTGCTTAGCGGCCCACTCTGCAACGTGAAGGTGAGGATACATGCGGAAATGTCCATGTGATTAGCCTGGATATAGCTGAACTGGTTTAATAAACCACATCTGTCATATGAAGAAACAAACGAGTGAGCGTTGTCATTTCCACTTTTATTTCTCACGCACTTACTGAACTATAACGGCATTTTATATTGTTTTGCATGTGATTATCCCTTTTCCACTTTAAACTATCATTATACAGTAGTGTATTTAACTCGGTGGACACTTGAAATTTACTTATTCGATGATCCATCAAATTTTTATTTTTACTCCAACCATCCTACGGGACTTATTAAACACTTGCTGTATTTACCCTTGATAATTCATTTTTCATTGTACCATATGAACAATGAACAATGATTTGAACAATGATTTATAGCGGGTAAAAAAGCAGGTGCTTGACATGTCCCGTAGGGTGTTTAGAGTGAAAAAGATAGATCAAGGGATAATGGTGTCGTCAGTTCGGGCAATTCCAGATGTAACTGCACTGCCGTATATGGGGAGTTTGGAATGAGAATGTACGCACACAAAGCGATAACGAGAATGGTTATTGCTCACATAATAGGCGAGAATAAATAAAGAAAAATAGGAAGGACAACGCTTACTCTTGCGCAACTATCTTGGGTCGACAGGATACAGAGAGTCATTTTCTATAATAGTATCATTTAGCAAATTTTGTGCAAGGGTTTGGAGTGACTCGTTCTCGAGTAGCGTTATAGCATTATCCACTGCCTGTTGTGCATTAGTGCCAGCATCTGGTGGTCATGGGCTATAGCACGTAATATGAATGTGACAGAGAATCGTCAAGGCGTTTTTTGAAAAGTGCAAGGGCGGGTGCATTAATTACATGTTCCGGGATGGTGCGGTCACAAGTCAGCGGTGATGCTTTATACTAAGCCACATTTCGTAATCCTGACTAATCCATCAGACAGTTTCACTACCTAGCTCCTCCTTCTGCCGTTATGAGTATCTTAGCGTCGTACATCGCTGAAACAGGGTTCCAGTAGGATAGTATGGGGGTTGTATGGTATAAGTAGAGGTTTATCAGATCTAGACTCAATCAGACAGCCATCACGCGCCAGGAAAAGCACTGTACAGCCGTCTCACCCTTACGGGAGTAGCCAACAGTGTGCATTCAACTGGTCCAATGGTTTTCGCTACGGACTGGTCGCAGTCGAGCTGCAGGTTCGAGCCCCACGAAGGACAGATGAAACGTGCACTGCTGACGATTCCCAGAAGAATGAAATGGTGTTTTTTCTGGCGTGTGATGACTGCCTAATCGTGTGTAGACCTCATGGGTAAACGGATTTACTGCATTTCGGTTCGCCGATCATTACACTGCTGCAAACCCAACAATCGGTATACTATGTGGTACCGTATTTTAATCCCACCTCTGTTTGTTTGTTATCCGTTAATCTATTTTGAGAAATTGTGCAGGTACGGTAAGGAATATTTCTCCGCGGATGCTTACGTTTTAGCGACCGGAGCAACCGAGACGCTCTGTAGAGTCGAACGTGGTCATATTTAGAAGGATACGTTGTAACCCACACAGACAGTTAGCTCATAAATCAAAAAACTAAAGGCACCGTTGCGAACTGAGATTATCTCGTTCCGTATCTATTTTACTGTAGGAAGTGGTACGCGGCAAGAAACTAGTATGGGATAGAAAATGTGCATGAAGGTTAAGAGACATATGTAACATATCATATAGTCGTTTTCCGAGGGTATTCCATATAAATCTTGCAAATTAAACTATTTCTAAACGGCCTCACTTCTAAACGCTTTTTATAACTTTTAACCCTTTTAAGCTCCTTCGGAAACCCTTACTCTCTGCACACTTAAACCAATAGTACCAGAGTGGTTTGTAGTTGAATACATCGTTACTTTGAAACTTAACCGCCACAATCAGATGCGATTAATTATGCTTGATCAGAGAAGTCAGCGTAAGATGTTTCTACAAAAACATGTGATTGCCGTTGGATTGATGAGGCGTTCCAGAGAACCACCACAGAACAATGCACACATACCAGATCGATGGCGCCAATTTGTTAGGACCTTGCTACAATAGACCAGAAAAGCGAAGCGTGCACTTCGATAACGACGTATGACTGAATTAGTGAACCATGATTTATCGACCGGACTCATTGAAAATGACTCGCTGTTGTCGATGTTACTACAGCGATTGTGTAAAAAAAACAAGCTATTTGGATCACGAAAGTGGAAAACTCACCCCAAAGCGGCATGGAATCATCTCCCGATCAAACTGCAGCAGGATCAGATATCTGTTCAGTAACTCCAATGTCCAATCTTCTTGTGACATTGCATAAATCTGGCTTAGGTAATTTTGTATTGCACGTCTCAACGCCTTGCACTGTCAGCCAAAAATGGGAAGTAGTAGTTTAGTCTAATTAAGTTTAGTTGTCCAAGCTAAAAACTTATCAAATAAGATCAGAGTGCAAAGACGCTGGCTAATTCACTGTCACAAGGCTACGCGCCCATTGGACTCGTTTCCAGTTTGAATGTCCATCGTCCAATAATTCAATAGTCGTATAGTGTATAATGGGATAAAATCGGGATTTTACACGGCCCAACGGATGGAAACTGTAGAGGAAAATTGAAATCAAGAATGTTTTAGCGTGGATGCTGAATTATAGTTAGTTTATACCTCGGACTTTATCACGCTGCTGTGTAGCTAATATGAAACTCTAATGGTCTTTCGAATGTCGCTATCTATGGTGCGTTCAGCAAGTTAGTTGGTATTACATTCCAATGGTAACAGGTGTTAACAGAGTAAACATACTTTCTACAGTCGAAAGGTGAGTGTTGCGTTATTCGTTACAGGTGGTGACATTGACATTTTTTGTTAGGGGGTGGGATCAGCAGGATGATCACGGGGGCTCGATTCCAGTTAGTATCCAATAAGTGAGAATGAGATTGTCGTGAAGCCATCGATATTCTAAGGACAACATACAGAGTAAACGGAGGTAGAGTTGCTAACTGAGCTCGGATGGTGTACGTACTGCCTTGGTGGCTCTTCTTTGCAGCTGCCCTAGGAGACCAATGCCTCATTTTAACCATTGGGACTAGGCCTGAACTGCATATTAAACGCGAGTTAACCAACGGTGGTATTAGCTGTCGCTCAAAAGTGCCGAGAACACGCATCGAAAGCCTCAAGTTCAAAGTTGTCACATTCGCTGTTTTCGAACATTAGAGCGAATTGGCAGGTCCTTCTTTTACGATAATACCTAAGTCTCTTTCACCAGTCACCTGTTGTAAAACCTGCCGTCCCAAAATATACGTGTTGATGAAGTTGCTACACTCCTTAATCAGATGGCACTTTGCAGGACTCATTGGGAGCTGATTCTTTTCTGCCCATTCGTTAATCCGGTTTAGATCCCTCTGGAGACAGGCAAGGTTGGATGCTGAGCGAATTACACTCCAAATTTGAGCATCATCTGCAGCCGTTTGCATCGGGGATCAAATGTTGGCTGGAAGGTCATTTTGTTGGAATAAAAACAGTAGTGGACCGAGAGCATATCGTTGCGGTGTACAGCTGGAAACGCACAGGATTTCGGAGTGAGTGTCAGATGTTCTTATCTTGATTGTTCTACCTTGGAAACCGCTGCTACCTTGGGTAGCAAGCTTTCAGGGGAGAATGATATGATTGCTCCTTTCGAATGCCTTATATAAGTCTAAGTAAATCACATCTGTGGGGAAGTTTTCATCAGCTGCCCGGTCCATAAATCCCGAGCAAGGCGTAGATTTGTGAGACAAGATCCTCCGCTTCTGAAATCATGGTAAACATTGAAACTTGGTTTCCTAGTTCGGTAGTTGTTAGCATCTGATCTCTGGCCTCCTATATACCAGGGTGAGGAATCCACATTTCCACTCAGATGGGAGTATATGGGAGTCAAACTGACCAAGGAAAACGCTGCAACGTGTACAGCTATGGTGGGGGTAAGAATTTTAAGTACCTTGAGGCAGATCTGGTCGTTTCCCGTGGCACTTTTCCCCCGGAGAGACTGTAATTTGTTCACGACAACCTCAGGAGTAAAGATGACACTGGATAAACGGACGACATTTGTCGTGAGTTGATAGGGCAACGATTCCATGGTATTTGTAGCCATCTAGCCACCCTGCAGAAGTAGAGCGTTCGCGGTACCCACAGTAGTAGTCGTTAAGCCGCTGACCGTCTTAAGTGGTGGTATTCCAGGTCTAAACTTTTGTTTTTAGTTCAAATACCTGTATAGCAGTTTGTTGTTACTCGCAAACTTGAGTACAATGTTCTCCTGCCATTCGTACTTGTCTGCCCTAATAAGTGACGTGCAGTAGTTTCTGATTATTTTGTAATTCTGCCATGAGGTATCACATGGGCTTAGCGTATATTGCTTTCGAAGCTCATCTCTTCTGTTGATCCATTTGCGAGTTGTGCTTCGGATCCAACTGTTGGTCCGGCGTGATGCTCGTAGTGATACCACTTTGGAGGCTGCTCTTATGACCTAGTTAATCTTAACTTCAATTCATTCCATGCGTCGTTCGCCGAACTGTGCGTCTGTAGGCCCCAGTCAACGGTTTTCGCTAGGTTGTGAAGCTTGGAATGATCAGTAGTAGTTCTTTGGGTTTCTCGTTATTTGTCAACCATACTTGCATAACACACAAAACCAAATGTCAGGACTGAATGGTCGCTACTGCTTAGAGGAGGGTCGTGTTCGACTGATTCAAGCATCAACTATTCATTTGTCCGGATTAGACTCAGGAATGATGGATAGTTCGAACGGCGGTGTCTGGTTGGTTGAGGCAATGGTTATACAAAACTGCCATATCTATGAAATCAAGGTTTTGCTTTAAATAATGGCCCATTCTAGGAAACTGGAACTATTGAAGGTAGATTGAAATCAGCTTTAGAAGGTAGTGAAAGTACTTTTCGGAAACAAGATGGTGGAGGGTGTTAACCACTATGCTATCACTGTCTGCGGAGGAATTCGGTGACCTTTAGATAACTTCTAAAAGGCAGACATCACGCGTATTTTCTGTGATTCACTACCTCAACCTGCTATCTACAGCTAGCATAATAAGGAGTCGGTACTAGCTATGGAATGTTCTGTAAGGGCTCACATTTAAGGTAAACGATAGTGTATAGTAATCATGGACGATCATTCCGAACGGCCGGCATTTCACTGAGTTTAATCGCGGGCTCTGGTGTGTCGTTCCAGAGCTAAGTTTCAGTGACTGCCATGATGTTCCAAGTTGTTGTCTCATGTCGATGGTGGGGGTCCTGAAGCTCAGAATACAACCCTTGTATTTTGGTGTAGAGACATTGTATTTACTGACGTATTAAGAGCTCGGTTTGCTGCGTTTGACCGGCCCCAATGATGTCTGTCTGATGGCACCTTTGGAAACGAATGTTTGTACTTTCGGCTGATCTGAGGTAGAAACAACCGACACTTGCTCCTCTGTAGCTGGGGGTCTGTACTGCTTGAAGGGGTTGTCTTAACCGTACTTTTGAAGTAGCGTACAGGTTGAGTGACAGCATATGGGTTCACAAGTGCTTGAAATACAATACAGCCGAAAATCTAATTTCGATCACATTGCGCTCATTGTCGCTACACTTTGTAGCCACTTATTGCGACTACGCGGCACGCCCTGCTGCAGGCCAGCGTTAGGTTTCACTGGATACATTGAACAGCGTTGTTAGCTTGGCTATGTGCAGTGCGCAAACTGACAGTTGGAGAGAGTAAAGCCGCACTCCTCCGTGTGCTGTCAGTAGTAGGTGATTGTTCCACAGACTTCACATGACAAGTGAGGCTCAATGGTTTGTGTTTGAACGGTGGAGTTTAATTTAGCTGTTATTGATATCGGATGCGATGTCACTGTTCGACGGTACCATCGAACCTATCAGTATTGTCATTGATCAAACACATTTCGCGTTAATTTACTTTAATCCTGCTTCACTTGGGTCCACAAAACGAGTTCGCTTTCATCACTTATCAAACTACCCCACTCCGTATAGAACTCATATGGTCAAAGTCACGGTTGTAATGCAACTAGTTCAACTTTCAAGTCATTTGTCTCAGATTATCTTCATGACCCAATAATCAAATTTATGAAGCCATGTGGGCAAATGTTGCCTACAATCCTAAGTATTGGTTTCTGTTCCTTAACAGATGACAATAATTCTAGGTACACTACCGAGAAGGTTATTCTGATCCGTTCGGCCTATCCATTCTTACTCTTTCCTTTTTGCGTTATTGAAAGATACTGCAAGATTCACCGAATGAACGTCTGTTACTTGTGTGAAGTATCCACTATTAAGGAAGTGTGGTTAATGATAACATAATTTCGCTTGCCTCTTTCCTATATACTACAATTCTCTCCTGCCGTTGAGCATAAGATTTACAGTTATTTAGGATACCCTGCGGTAGACCATGAGCGGTCTCCTCACGTTGTTAAAGAGATTTTGTAGTAACAGGTGTGGCCAACTTTACACCTTTATTATGTGTGGAATTTGAACAATGAACACTGAATAGTGATTAATAATGGGTAAAAAAGCAGATGCTTGACGTGTCCCGTAGGGTGTTTAGAGTGAAAAAGATAGATCAAGGGATAATGGAGTTGTCAGTTTGGGCGATTACAGATTTAACTGCAGTGCGGTATAAACGGAGTTTGAAAAGAGAATGTTAGCACACAAAGCAATAAGGAAAGTGATTATTGATCACATAATAGGCGAGAAAAATATAGGAATGACAGCGCTTACTTGTGCGCAACCATCTTGGGTCGACAGGATACAGAAAGTCAGTTTCTATATTAGTAGCGTTTATCAAACTTTGTGCAGGGGTTTGACGTAACTCATTCTCGAGTAGGGTTATGGCGCTGTCCAGTGTCTGTTGTGCATTAGTGCCAGCATCTGGTGGCCATGGGCTATAGCACGTAGTGTAAATGTAACAGAGAAGCGACAAGGCGTTTTTTTTTAAAGCGATGGGGTGGAAGCATTACTTACATGTTCCGGGAGGGCGTTCCAGGTCTGTGACACTCGAAGGGAGAAATAGTTTCGCTGACATTCCAGACGGCTGTACTGCGTGACCAACTTAAACTGGTGACCTCTTAGCGGGGTGTTTTGACTGGTTAGTAGAAGGGAATGGCATGGGTAGTTGGGGTTTCTCAGGATCGGGTACACCACTATGAGATCGCCCCTTAGACGCCGATATTGTCCACTGTATATTTTGAGAGTCTTCAGCCTGAGTGGTTAGGGGAGGCTGGTCAAACCTCTGACGCTCTTCGTTGCCCTACGTTGTGCAGTATCGAGCGCGTTGAGATGGTGCTTGAGCCAGGGTTGCCACGCTTGAATAGCGTATTCCGCGTGCGGCCTCACGTAGGCACTAAGCATTTTTGGAAAGACTGAAAGGTCAAATTTCCCGAACGCTCGGCCGAGGTATCGGTTTGGAGGCAGGTACAAGGGCACTTACTACAGTCTCACTGACCAGTGAGTGTATCCTCAGTAGCGCAGACCAACTGAGCTTAACATTTTCCAACGTTAGGAAATGTGTCAATGTTAGATGAGGCGTACCTTTAAAACAAGTATTACAATCTTTTTTTAATTCTAGCTAGGTATTTTTAGCCGCGACTATTGTTGGTGTCACTCAAACAACTAACCGTTTGTATGCTGTAAAAGTCACTGCATTGTTTGCAACTAAACGAGAGTTAGAAAAATCTACATGGTGAGGATTCAGTTTATGCACAAATGAGGGCGGATGAGAATGCAAAACCATCATATAGACGGCTTCGGTTGTGCTGATTCTACAACTAGTCACCACTATCATAGATACTACACGTGGTTGAATATGGTGATCCATTTTGGCCCAGCGGCATACCATATCGTGATAGGATCTATGTCATATTTTCAAGAGTGAAACGCTTGCATATTTGAAATATTGCAATATATTGTGCTCCAATGGTAGCGTACGCCATACACACACCATTTCCTACTATGCTTGGTAACGGTGAAGCCGTAGTGAAATAAATAATAAACCGTATATTCCTCGACATGCGAGACACAGGTCAAATACCAGCCTGCTTAATTGGTACAATAAAGTTGCACAGTAGAGGGATATTGCAAGATCTATTATGTTCTCATTAAAGTGTTTGAGGTGCACAATCATTTAAAAGTAATAAAATGTGGAAAAGTTGAGAGTAAGAATAAAAGTTGTTATAGCCGTCAGGTCAAATAAAATAATACGACCCTTCATGGAACCGTCCCGATGAGAGCTGCTTGGGCACTTCACTTACACATCTCATCTGGGCATGTGCTGTTTCTGCTTAATGCAAGTAGCCAATGTATTTTCTGACTCGATTTTTTTCTTGTTGCCTGTTGCAATGTGCAATTTTCTCATCATTATACTAATACATTATACACAAATATCCATAAATTTATGTGGAGGCTTGTGTAAACTGTTAAGCTGTCCCCCTATATACAGCCATCATTTAGCTAATTCGAGTCCAGCATTTTTTATATTCGCCAGTGTGATCGTGACAACTCGCATTGTATGAGTGTACTGCATTTTTGGAGACATTAATCCATGACCACGGGAAATCGGCTCAGTCGTGGACAACCGTGGTAGGAGAGAAATAAACAAAAAGAAAAGGGATGAAGGCACAGTAATGAGCAGATGAGCTTTTGTCCGAAGTTGTCCGAAACAGATTGTACAAATTTTCACTGGTGACATAAACCCTCAGAAATGTACATGTTTCAAAAAAAATTTCAGCAGAAATATTTGAGATGGCTCCAACAGTTGTAGGAGATCAAATTTGAGAGATTGGTGGCGTTGGATCAATTTGTAGAGCTCTGAGAAATGCCGTAGGTGTTCAAAATATTTTCTACAGGGAGGGAGAGACAACTGGATGCAATGTAGAGCAAGTTTACTGTCGTTCCAACAGTTAAGCTTCATTCCGTAAGCGAAGTTGATTTTGAAGGATGTAAACATTCTGAGTGATCGTAAACATGAATGCTCCTGCTAGGCTTTCGGATAGGGCCGTCAGATTTATCCAGCCAAAAGCGGAGGTAAAATCTCCAAATTGGTTTACACAAAATCCATCATGTTTTTTTCCGAAATTTATTCAAAAACAGGATGTAGATAGATTTCCTCTTTAAGATTGCCCGGATACTGTTGAAAATTTAAGATTTATTTGAACTACGAGCCTAGAGTAGTTTTCTCGAATTTGAACAGCACGTTGTAGGAATGAAAACGACGTTTCTGAACCTTGCTGAGATTTCTCAGCCTGGTTGAAGATGAATATAGATGTTGAAATATACCTTCTTTTCGACATCAATGGGGTTTCCAAATCCAGCTGCAAACTGTATAAATTTCCGGACTGGACTAACCCCAAACAACCGGTTATATATCTGCCAAGGTGCTAGAAATAAAGCTACACATCGCCAGGCTTAATACGCATACTATAAAAGGTCGTACGTTGATCGTAGTCCAGACACAACCTACCAGTCAGCATAAGTTCAAGTCACTGATGAAGGTACTAGAAATCCACTGTGTTTCCAACGCTACAGTATGTATCTAGCACAATTTTTAACGAACTAAAGTCTTCAATCACCAGTTACTCTGCGCAGAGGATTTCGGTGTATTAATCGATTACGGAACACAGAGACCGCAGCTAGCAGAGATGAAAGAATTATGTCTCCCACCCAGGCTTCTATACTTGAAACAGAGTTAAGTGTCAGATTATGTGAACTGTCAATAATCGGAATACTCCCAATACAAGAATTTGATGTTTGTACATGAATTAGTTTGGACAGAATTCTGGAGCTTTGCTGTCATAGCTACTAGTATCCGGGGTAAATCGATTAGAAATCTAACCGTCTTATTCAATATGTTTCCTGCAACAATTGCGGTTATCAAGAGAACTTTCACTCCCATGTATAAAGGCTTACTTATTTCTCACATTGTATTAGTTACTGATAGTATCACCGATTCATTTCTTTAGTCTTAATTTCAAAGTCAATGAAACCACAAAAGCACAGAATGGCCAAGCTGTCGGGTGTGAGAAAATCTGTATTAGATCCATTTATAAAGGCATCTTAGATGTTCGAAAGAAGTTCTGCTTAGTTCAGCTTACTTTGTAATGTTGAAGCACACAAGGTGGAAAAAGTGTTTGCAACGGTCGAGCCCGTTCAAATAACTCCAGTCGGTCTTTTGCAGACAAAGTAGAGTTCTGTGTTACCATACTGCAGAACGAAGAGAAAATACCAAATCAATGGTTTTAACAAAATTGCATATTACCAGATTTCAAAGCATCCGATCTCAAACGCCAAGTCCACATTTTCAATATCACGAAATCGCAACAAGTACCAATCCCTCACCTTTATAGAAAGTTGGCCCATTTAAAACATTCTGATAAAACACCATACTTGCTGATGGAGATACGCGAGCGTTACCGGATCACTTTGTGCGACTTCCTCAAAGTTAGTCGGATAATAACAGATGGTTAGACTGAGACATTTTGGGTTATATTTAGATTTTATCTCTGTCCACGTTAAGGACGGACAGAGTATATGGCGGAAAGATCCATCGCTAGGTGTCTTTTCAGTTAATTCCAATCCATAGTGTTTGGTGCTGTTGGACTGTGAAACTGTCCTCATTAGTATTGCGATCATATCCTGTATCAATCTCAAGCCTTAAGGTAAACATAACCAAACCGACCTTGATTGTGGTGCTTAATATAGTTGCATTTGCATGTAAGTTCAACAGCCTTCACTATTGCCAACATAAATGAACAACTGTGCAAATTCAGTGTGCAGCTATGAACTCCACCTCATTCTTATGTTATTAAAGCCTAGTTCTGTGGATAAGGAAAGCTCAGGGGTCCATCGTGCTAGGTTACACTACAAAGGAGTGCACGTGCAGAAAAGTTTGAGAACACCTGCTCAATAGTGAAACATTGCATCCTGTTGGCCGACGGTGTCTGACCAATGAGGAAGCTACTCGTCGGTGCGTGTGTGCATCTTAGCCATACTTTGAAACGCACCAACTTGAAACTGCTTATGAACCAAGTTGAAAATGCTTACGAACCAAGTTGAAAATGCTTATGAACCAATTTGCTTGCTCTATTAACTAACTTGATTCGGAAATGGTATAGACTGCACTCACGTCTTCCTCCGCACCGGCGCAGTGCGGTGCCCTCCCCAGCCTCCATACGCCGACCCATTTTGAGTTTTGCAAAGGACTCCGAAACATTTCACTTTAGACCAGAGTGGTCATCAAATAACAGTGTCCACTGACCGCCTTAAAGTGGCTTTGTTTGACGAGCCATTTGCAACCCATCCTAGTGCTATCATACAAACATCCGCACCTGTGGTGACTTCGCGTGCACTGGATACCCCACAAACCCTCCGTTCACCTTGACACTCCCCCTACCGCGCCTCAAGCCCAAGCAGTCAAGCGACGAGGTAGACAAGTCAAACAACGGGTCCATTTTCAGGTTCTGTGAACGTTCACTATTCTCAATAACACGCGTTTTCTATCTTTAGTGTTAATGATGCATTTCATCCACAAACCTTATGCAAAGCCGATAAAAAACCAAGACATTTTAGAAACTTAAAAAGTATATTTGTTTTTATATTTCAGACCATGTTCTCTCACCAGCATCAAGCCAGTTATCCTGACCCATGCCCGTCTGCTATGAGAACTACCTTCCGGAAAATCAACCACAGAGGCTACCAAAGTAACCCTCGCGTGACCTGCAAACGGGCTCAAGACCCCACTCTGACCACGGTGCCAACCAGTCGCTCTCGACCGCAGATGGCCACGACAGGATTGGTCCCCGAACGCCTGGCTACGCAATGCTCACGAGAACGCCTTGATTCCTTCTTCGGTCAAGGACCGTGGACTAAAGTCTGGTGGGGGGAGTGACACCTTCCAAGGCACCGTCGCTTCCGCAGTGGAGGAAATGTTCTGTTGGCCATTTTTCTGAACTAGCCAGCTTTCATGCAGTCCGACGAGCCCACTTTGACTGCCCACTGATGAGTCACTCTGGTCCACAAGAAAACCATACATAATAAATAACAGGAGCCTGGACCCAGTAAACTACGTTACAAACCCATTCTTGGAAGCCTGTGTTCAATCAGGTACTACTATTCGCACCCATCCTCCCCTTTTGTTTTCCTGTAATGACAGCTCTATCGAAGGCCTCCATACTTCAGCCTTCTAGTGGGGCCTGTATTGCATCTGAAAACACACTATAGTATTTTACGTTGGATTTTACGGTTGTTTGAAACTTCAACACGTCCATTTGTTTTACTGACGGCACCTGTTTACACAAACTGCGGTCGTAGGTCTCTTGCTATACCGTTTCTTGCCCTCGTTGATTCGCTTCCTATTTTTGTAGGCTGTACAATACACGTCGGGTTCACCTGCCCCCAACTTCTCTACTGTCCCCTATCTGACACCTCTTACATGTTGTTCCCGACTAGTATCCCATGTGCCAGCCAACAGCATAGAAACTTAAAGCATGACGTCCAATTCCATCACCAGAAGGACGTCTTTATCGGTTACTAACGATTGGTCAAATGGTACTAAACGATGAAGAGTAACAGTAAGTTTCCCTCACAGTAAATAGTAAAGGCAGAAAAGCACCAACTTGGCAACGAACAATGATTTATCGCGGGTTAAAAGCAAGGGCTTGACCCGTCCCGTAGGAAGGTTGGGGTGAATAAAATGAAAGCAAAATATTTATGAGTCATCTACCGAGCATCTATGGATAAATTCGTTGGTAAATAACTAGTGTAAAATAAAAAATCGAGTGTAAACATACAGCAGTACACGTTGTGAAGCGATGCTTGAGGCAAAGTGTGAGAAAAGCAAAATCGGCTGCTCAGTTTTGGGTACATATGACAGATAAATCTGGTAGAAGGGCATTTTAACGCATTCCACAATGGTGTGGCTTAGATAACGAAGTGGTGGGAGCTAGGAATAACCCACATTTAATGCTTTCCAGTTAGATGTGTCTATTTGCGGGCGTAATTGTTGCTTAGCTCACTTTTTCCAACTTACTTTGAAAGCACACTGGCTGTAATTGCTTAGGTGTCGACCTTGGTTTTCATTGGTCCACACCATCACATGATGCCGACTAATGGAGTGATTTAACTGACCAATCAGCGGGGGAAGCTCTCCTCTCGAGACTCCAATGAAATCGAGATACCAGTTTGCATCTTGGAAACAGCGTATGCATTTGCTCATTGTAATCAAAGTTGATTGCCGAAAGTACACATTTGTTGCTGAAGCACATTTCTTGGATCTACAACCTTGCCAAGACAACTCCAGCTCACTGCTTGGAAACTACGTTTGATTTCTCAGCGAACTCATTTCGTCTGGACACCCACGTACAACCGGTATACTATATCAGTATTTTATCAGCGTAACTGATAGTCACTCATCAGCGCGATTTTAAGCGCAACCGATCGATATGTGCTTAATGCATGGGAAGTGCCGCTATTAACTGACTACACAACTGCAAAGTAAGCGTAAATCTTTTATTTACCAAACATTGACGACACATCTTGGGCTGCGACAAGTACTTTGACGGACTCCACTTCGTTAGCGGAGCCTCTACCGTATATATATATATATATATATATATATATATATATATATGCTGTTGTGAGAATCCCTAATAATTTTCAAGTTTGCTTTCAGGCTTTAATAACAACTTCCTAAAGTTACAGTTCATTTTGCAGTTTTATGGTCAATCCGTCGACTACGTTTATTTAAGTCATCTATACACGTGGCCGTTCGGCTTGCACTCAATCGACGTTGCAGGCTGCACTGCTCGCTGCTCGCGCGATTCATCTTTCGCCGTATTTAAGGCGCAAATTTGTGTTACTTGTGTCGGTGCGAACTCACACTAGACGTTTCTATGACCACCTTGGTAATACTTTCTTAGTTTGACTGGTGCGGAAGAAATGGAACTCAATGTGTCTACCTGCGAAATATATCGCTTGGGTTACTGTGTTATGTAGTTCAAGGTAACAAACTTTGCTCAGCAAATGTGAAACATGAGTAAGGGATGATACTCACGTCTAGAATGATAGTTTGATCTGCCACCGCCACTTGCACGGCAAAACCGTGGGGATTAAGTTGCTCAGATAGTGTGAGTGCTTCAGCATAATGTAGTGAATGGTAAAGTGTTAGTGAAGGTGAGTTAGGTCGAGTTCGCACCATCTGTCGGGTAAACATATAGGTGTGTTCACCCGTTAACTTGGTATCTTTCCTGTTATGTCGCATAGCAATACCATGAGGCCTAGGAACGGTCGCAATACAAACATTTTTCAGTGGCCTTCAGGACGTTTGATAAAAATTTGTGAACACAGCACCAACTATAAGATTGGTCACCTTACCTCGGTCTGCACTGCCAGGAAACGGTTTGAGACAGCTACTATCGAAATGCTGAGATTCTCATGAGAACAACAATTAACGGCCTACTTAGAAACTTTAGCGGTGAAGGAAACCGGAGCTCGTTTCTAGGACTAGCATGGCCTGAATAGATAAGGTAACAGGGATTAAATTTGACAATGTGCAATCCAGCGGTTTCAGAGCGACGCATTCATGTAAAAGTTAGCAATTCGTGATGGGTCATTACAGAGGTTGAGTCTCGTATGTAATGAGTACAAAGTGCATTCAACCAGTTTTATGATCGGACCATGTTATAACACGTCCTACTGGTTCCGACTCTTAGTTGTAACCGTTATTACCCCACACAGAGAGTACCCATTCGAATTCAGATCGGTACGGCCGAAGTGACCGCGTTGCGGGACATTGTGTACGCAGGCTGAGACTGGACACGAAGCAAGTAACCGACACAAAGAAAAAAACACTGGCAAATGGCAAAAATTCGTTTACTGAGTCAGCAAAATGTAAATATGCCTTCTGCGTCTTTGTATTTATAGCGCAACAGGATAGCAGCTAGATACAAAAAATCTGTGTTCTATAAATCCCAACCAAGTTCGCACAACCCAGGTTAGAGTGGGGCATTTTAACCTACTCATCAGCCGCATTCTCGAATACTGCAGCATAACATACGGCAATATAAGAATGAGTGACAGAATTGCTGTGGAGCACCTGCAGAGGTCGGTTACTAAACATGGTTACTAAACTGGTAAGCATGCTGTTGTGGTATATCGCGAACGTTGTAACGAAATTTAACTCGAAGCACTTTGGATTCGATGAGCGAAGCAAAAGGTGTTGCTGCTTTCCAACCTGTTACATAAAAAGACCTATTCCGATTTACCTACATGCGAACTACAGCATAGCACAACTCGAGAGCTTCAAGGTGAAGATTTTACACTGTATATTCTCAACGACAGGAAAAACATTCGCTCTAATTTCTTCCTGGACAGATATAGCTATATGGGGAATAAGCTACCAATCACGCTCAGGTCATGTGATACTGTGGTGACATTTAGAAGCAGACTATCCAGTTGCCTTGATCTAAATACCATAACTATGTTCACATGCAAAAGCTCCTTCGATAACCCATTGCAAGAGATACACAAAAACATCTAAACAATGTTTACATAACTGAGCTTTCTCCTCAACCATCTACCAGAATGTAACTACATAATACACATATTCCAATACTCCAGCTTTGCTTGTCGTCCATGCAAGTGCATGGATAATTTTGTACTAATTGATCTGCGCCGCTACAGACACACTTTCTCGCATCAAAGAAATGTCCGTAGCATTAATATTATTACTATTACTACGAAGGATGGTGGATGTGAGCAAGGCGTATACATTGTCGCGTAGTGGTAATGTCTCAAGAAGAGCGCAGCTGGTTCACTACGGCTTGAGGCGGTAGATACATCAATATACTTAGGAGGGTTCGGTTGTTATCTGTTTAGCCTGAGTCGCTGCATGTTGTGAGTATGGCTGATATGAGCTCGTGCGAAACCTGTGTTCTATTTCGTGCAGCTAATCGTGCTCCGTAGCAGATCCACTGGCCCTTTATTGGCACAACGCAATTTGTAGGACAAACCTACTTGATTTTGGGCGTTGTCTGCAAATAAATCGCAGTATGTGTTGCAACAGCTTACCTGCGTGTTGTAGTTGTCAGCTGGTAAAGTGTATGCCCAGGAATGTCGTAATCCTTGTGTCGTTGCAATCGAAGAAGACTTGTGTGAATTGATCGTACCTGTTTCTTTTTAGTCGCCACTTCCGAAGTCTTTGAGTCCTGTTTACATACAGAACTGCGGCTCGCTTCAAACGTTTTCGTATATGTATTGTGGTCAGCGAACAACACTACTGATGTCCCCCAAACGGTGAGGCTAGTTTTGTGGTTTCTACCAGTATGCTAACAGGATATAGGAACTTCATAAGAAGTGTCGACTGTCAACCAAGATTGTTTACGTAAGTGAGTGTGCGTTATAGTTCACAACGTACTGCTCCTTGCTGTAGGTGCTTCAAGGATTCTGTCTGCCTATTGGTGCTCTGATGCTCTGATGCACCCTTTCGGTGAGAATTTGCGATTCGTAGGAAGGGAGAGGCTGTATGCTCCCCTCGATCGCATGTGATAAGGAATGCTCCATTTGCCTTAAGTCATGAAGTTTCAGTTAGTTTTTCCCTTATAGTTCACATCGATTTCTATTTCACCGTTAAATAAACATTGGTGCCACTCTCATCAACACACATCATATTTTAGAGGATGTTCAAACCCCTTCAACTTCCAACAACAAAAAGGCTACCATCGACAGATGGTTTGAATGTGAATGAACTTGAAGATGTTATAACAATACAAACAGGTCCGGGATACACGAAACTTCGATGTGAGCCGAGCACCACAATCAAGGTCGGTTTGGCTATGTTTACCTTAAGGCTTGAGATTGATACAGGATATGATCGCAATACTAATGAGGACAGTTTCACAGTCCAACAGCACCAAACACTATGGATTGGAATTAACTGAAAAGACACCTAGCGATGGATCTTTCCGCCATATACTCTGTCCGTCCTTAACGTGGACAGAGATAAAATCTAAATATAACCCAAAATGTCTCAGTCTAACCATCTGTTATTATCCGACTAACTTTGAGGAAGTCGCACAAAGTGATCCGGTAACGCTCGCGTATCTCCATCAGCAAGTATGGCGTTTTATCAGAATGTTTTAAATGGGCCAACTTTCTATAAAGGTGAGGGATTGGTACTTGTTGCGATTTCGTGATATTGAAAATGTGGACTTGGCGTTTGAGATCGGATGCTTTGAAATCTGGTAATATGCAATTTTGTTAAAACCATTGATTTGGTATTTTCTCTTCGTTCTGCAGTATGGTAACACAGAACTCTACTTTGTCTGCAAAAGACCGACTGGAGTTATTTGAACGGGCTCGACCGTTGCAAACACTTTTTCCACCTTGTGTGCTTCAACATTACAAAGTAAGCTGAACTAAGCAGAACTTCTTTCGAACATCTAAGATGCCTTTATAAATGGATCTAATACAGATTTTCTCACACCCGACAGCTTGGCCATTCTGTGCTTTTGTGGTTTCATTGACTTTGAAATTAAGACTAGAGAAATGAATCGGTGATACTCTCAGTAACTAATACAATGTGAGAAATAAGTAAGCCTTTATACATGGGAGTGAAAGTTTTCTTGATAACCGCAATTGTTGCAGGAAACATATTGAATAAGACGGTTAGATTTCTAATCGATTTACCCCGGATACTAGTAGCTATGACAGCAAAGCTCCAGAATTCTGTCCAAACTAATTCATGTACTAACATCAAATTCTTGTATTGGGAGTATTCCGATTATTGACAGTTCACATAATCTGACACTTAACTCTGTTTCAAGTATAGAAGCCTGGGTGGGAGACATAATTCTTTCATCTCTGCTAGCTGCGGTCTCTGTGTTCCGTAATCGATTAATACACCGAAATCCTCTGCGCAGAGTAACTGGTGATTGAAGACTTTAGTTCATTAAAAATTGTGCTAGATACATACTGTAGCGTTGGAAACACAGTGGATTTCTAGTACCTTCATCAGTGACTTGAACTTATGCTGACTGGTAGGTTGTGTCTGGACTACGATCAACGTACGACCTTTTATAGTATGCGTATTAAGCCTGGCGATGTGTAGCTTTATTTCTAGCACCTTGGCAGATATATAACCGGTTGTTTGGGGTTAGTCCAGTCCGGAAATTTATACAGTTTGCAGCTGGATTTGGAAACCCCATTGATGTCGAAAAGAAGGTATATTTCAACATCTATATTCATCTTCAACCAGGCTGAGAAATCTCAGCAAGGTTCAGAAACGTCGTTTTCATTCCTACAACGTGCTGTTCAAACTCGAGAAAACTACTCTAGGCTCGTAGTTCAAATAAATCTTAAATTTTCAACAGTATCCGGGCAATCTTAAAGAGGAAATCTATCTACATCCTGTTTTTGAATAAATTTCGGAAAAAAACATGATGGATTTTGTGTAAACCAATTTGGAGATATTACCTCCGCTTTTGGCTGGATAAATCTGACGGCCCTATCCGAAAGCCTAGCAGGAGCATTCATGTTTACGATCACTCAGAATGTTTACATCCTTCAAAATCAACTTCGCTTACGGAATGAAGCTTAACTGTTGGAACGACAGTAAACTTGCTCTACATTGCATCCAGTTGTCTCTCCCTCCCTGTAGAAAATATTTTGAACACCTACGGCATTTCTCAGAGCTCTACAAATTGATCCAACGCCACCAATCTCTCAAATTTGATCTCCTACAACTGTTGGAGCCATCTCAAATATTTCTGCTGAAATTTTTTTGAAACGTACATTTCTGAGGGTTTATGTCACCAGTGAAAATTTGTACAAACTGTTTCGGACAACTTCGGACAAAAGCTCATCTGCTCATTACTGTGCCTTCATCCCTTTTCTTTTTGTTTATTTCTCTCCTACCACGGTTGTCCACGACTGAGCCGATTTCCCGTGGTCATGGATTAATGTCTCCAAAAATGCAGTACACTCATACAATGCGAGTTGTCACGAACACACTGGCGAATATAAAAAATGCTGGACTCGAATTAGCTAAATGATGGCTGTATATAGGGGGACAGCTTAACAGTTTACACAAGCCTCCACATAAATTTATGGATATTTGTGTATAATGTATTAGTATAATGATGAGAAAATTGCACATTGCAACAGGCAACAAGAAAAAAAACGAGTCAGAAAATACATTGGCTACTTGCATTAAGCAGAAACAGCACATGCCCAGATGAGATGTGTAAGTGAAGTGCCCAAGCAGCTCTCATCGGGACGGTTCCATGAAGGGTCGTATTATTTTATTTGACCTGACGGCTATAACAACTTTTATTCTTACTCTCAACTTTTCCACATTTTATTACTTTTGAATGATTGTGCACCTCAAACACTTTAATGAGAACATAATAGATCTTGCAAGATCCCTCTACTGTGCAACTTTATTGTACCAATTAAGCAGGCTGGTATTTGACCTGTGTCTCGCATGTCGAGGAATATACCGTTTATTATTTATTTCACTACGGCTTCACCGTTACCAAGCATAGTAGGAAATGGTGTGTGTATGGCGTACGCTACCATTGGAGCACAATATATTGCAATATTTCAAATATGCAAGCGTTCCACTCTTGAAAATATGACATAGATCCTATCACGATATTGTACGACGCTGGGGCAAAATGGACCACAATATGCAACCACGTGTAGTATCTATGATAGTGGTGACTAGTTGTAGAATCAGCACAACCGAAGCCGTCTATATGATGGTTTTGCATTCTCATCCGCCCCCGTCTGTGCATAAACTGAATCCTCACCATGTAGATTTTTCTAACTCTTGTTTAGTTGCAAACAATGCAGTGACTTTTACAGCATACAAACGGTTAGTTGTTTGAGTGACACCAACAATAGTCGCGGCTAAAAATACCTAGCTAGAATTAAAAAAAGATTGTAATACTTGTTTTAAAGGTAAGCCTCATCTAACATTGACACATTTCCTAACGTTGGAAAATGTTAAGCTCAGTTGGTCTGCGCTACTGAGGATACACTCACTGGTCAGTGAGACTGTAGTAAGTGCCCTTGTACCTGCCTCCAAACCGGTACCTCGGCCTTCTTCGCCGAGCGTTCGGGAAATTTGACCTTTCAGTCTTTCCAAAAATGCTTAGTGCCTACGTGAGGCCGCACGCGGAATACGCTATTCAAGCGTGGCAACCCTGGCTCAAGCACCATCTCACCGCGCTCGATACTGCACAACGTAGGGCAACGAAGAGCGTCAGAGGTTTGACCAGCCTCCCCTAACCACTCAGGCTGAAGACTCTCAAAATATACAGTGGACAATATCGGCGTCTAAGGGGCGATCTCATAGTGGTGTACCCGATCCTGAGAAACCCCAACTACCCATGCCATTCCCTTCTACTAACCAGTCAAAACACCCCGCTAAGAGGTCACCAGTTTAAGTTGGTCACGCAGTACAGCCGTCTGGAATGTCAGCGAAACTATTTCTCCCTTCGAGTGTCACAGACCTGGAACGCCCTCCCGGAACATGTAAGTAATGCTTCCACCCCATCGCTTTAAAAAAAACGCCTTGTCGCTTCTCTGTTACATTTACACTACGTGCTATAGCCCATGGCCACCAGATGCTGGCACTAATGCACAACAGACACTGGACAGCGCCATAACCCTACTCGAGAATGAGTTACGTCAAACCCCCTGCACAAAGTTTGATAAACGCTACTAATATAGAAACTGACTTTCTGTATCCTGTCGACCCAAGATGGTTGCGCACAAGTAAGCGCTGTCATTCCTATATTTTTCTCGCCTATTATGTGATCAATAATCACTTTCCTTATTGCTTTGTGTGCGAACATTCTCATTTCAAACTCCGTTTATACCGCACTGCAGTTAACTCTGTAATCGCCCAAACTGACAACTCCATTATCCCTTGATCTATCTTTTTCACTCTAAACACCCTACGGGACACGTCAAGCATCTGCTTTTTTACCCATTATTAATCACTATTCAGTGTTCATTGTTCAAATTCCACACATAATAAAGGTGTAAAGTTGGCCACACCTGTCACTACAAATTCTCTTTAACAACGTGAGGAGACCGCTCATGGTCTACCGCAGGGTTTCCTAAATAACTGTAAATCTTATGCTCAACGGCAGGAGAGAATTGTAGTATATAGGAAAGAGGCAAGCGAAATTATTTTATCATTAACCACACTTCCTTAATAGTGGATACTTCACACAAGTAACAGACGTTCATTCGGTGAATCTTGCAGTATCTTTCAATAACGCAAAAAGGAAAGAGTAAGAATGGATTGGCCGAACGGATCAGAATAACCTTCTCGGTAGTGTACCTCGAATTATCGTCATCTGTTAAGGAACAGAAATCAATACTTAGGATTGTATGCAACATTTGCCCACATGGCTTCATAAATTTTGATTATTGGGTCATGGAGATAATCTGAGACAAATGACTTGAAAGTTGAACTAGTTGCATTACAACTGTGACTTTGACCATATGAGTTCTATACGGAGTGGGGTAGTTTGATAATTGATAAAACCGAACTCGTTTTGTGAACGCAAGTGAAGCAGCATTGAAAAGAATTAACGCAAAATATGTTTGATCAATGACAATACTGATGGGTTCGATGGTGCCGTCGAACAGTGACATCGCATCCGATATCAATAACAGCTAAATTAAACTCTACCGTTCAAACACAAACCATTGAGCCTCAGTTGTCATTTGAAGTATGTGGAACAATCACCTACTACTGACAGCACAAGGAGGAGTGCGGCTTTACTCTCTTTAACTGTCAGTTTGCGCACGGCACATAGCCAAGCTAACAAACGCTGTTCAACATATCTAGTGAAATCTAACGCGTTCCCGCAGCAGGGCGTGCCGCGTAGTCGCGATAAGTGGTTACAAAGTGTAGCGACAATGAGCGCAATGTGATCGAAATTAGATTTTCGGCTGTATTGTATTTCAAGCACTTGTGAACCCATATGCTGTCACTCAACCTGTACGCTACTTCAAAAGTACGGTTAAGACAACCCCTTCAAGCAGTACAGACCCCAGCTACAGAGGAGCAAGTCTCGGTTGTTTCTACCTCAGATCAGCCGAAAGTACAAACATTCGTTTCAAAAGGTGCCATCAGACAGACATCATTGGGGCCGGTCAAACGCAGCAAACCGAGCTCTTAATACGTCAGTAAATACAATGTCTCTACACCAAAATACAAGGGTTGTATTCTGAGCTTCAGGACCCTCACCATCGACATGAGACAACAACTTGGAACATCATGGCAGTCACTGAAACTTAGCTCTGGAACGACACACCAGAGCCCGCGATTGAACTCAGTGAAATGCCGGCCGTTCGGAATGATCGTCCATGATTACTATACACTATCGTTTACCTTAAATGTGAGCCCTTACAGAACATTCCATAGCTAGTACCGACTCCTTATTATGCTAGCTGCAGATAGCAGGTTGAGGTAGTGAATCACAGAAAATACGCGTGTTGTCTGCCTTTTAGAAGTTATCTAAAGGTCACCGAATTCCTCCGCAGACAGTGATAGCATAGTGGTTAACACCCTCCACCATCTTGTTTCCGAAAAGTACTTTTACTACCTTCTAAAGCTGGTTTCAACCTACCTTCAATAGTTCCAGTTTCCTATAATGGGCCATTATTTAAAGCAAAACCTTGGTTTCATAGATATGGCAGTTTTGTATAACCATTGCCTCAACCAACCAGACACCGCCGTTCGAACTATCCATCATTCCTGAGTCTAATCCGGACAAATGAATAGTTGATGCTTGAATCAGTCGAACACGACCCTCCTCTAAGCAGTAGCGACCATTCAGTCCTGACATTTGGTTTTGTGTGTTATGCAAGTATGGTTGACAAATAACGAGAAACCCAAAGAACTACTACTGAACATTTCAAGCTTCACAACCTAGCGAAAACCGTTGACTGGTACCTACAGACTCACAATTCGGTGAACGACGCATGGAATGAATTGAAGTTAAGATTAACTAGGTCATAAGAGCAGCCTCCAAAGTGGTATCACTACGAGCATCACGCCGGACCAACAGTTGGATCCGAAGCACAACTCGTAAATGGATCAACAGAAGAGATGAGCTTCGAAAGCAATATACGCTAAGCCCATGTGATACCTCATGGCAGAATTACAAAATAATCAGAAACTACTGCACGTCACTTATTAGGGCAGACAAGTACGAATGGCAGGAGAACATGGTACTCAAGTTTGCGAGTAACAACAAACTGCTATACAGGTATTTGAACTAAAAACAAAAGTTTAGACCTGGAATACCACCACTTAAGACGGTCAGCGGCTTAACGACTACTACTGTGGGTACCGCGAACGCTCTACTTCTGCAGTTTGGCTAGATGGTTACAAATACCATGGAATCGTTGCCCGATCAACTCACGACAAATGTCGTCCGTTTATCCAGTGTCATCTTTACTCCTGAGGTTGTCGTGAACAAATTACAGTCTCTCCGGGGGAAAAGTGCCACGGGAAACGACCAGATCTGCCTCAAGGTACTTAAAATTCTTACCCCCACCATAGCTGTACACGTTGCAGCGTTTTCCTTGGTCAGTTTGACTCCCATATACTCCCATCTGAGTGGAAATGTGGATTCCTCACCCTGGTATATAGGAGGCTAGAGATCAGATGCTAACAACTACCGAACTAGGAAACCAAGTTTCAATGTTTACCATGATTTCAGAAGCGGAGGATCTTGTCTCACAAATCTACGCCTTGCTCGGGATTTATGGACCGGGCAGCTGATGAAAACTTCCCCACAGATGTGATTTACTTAGACTTATATAAGGCATTCGAAAGGAGCAATCATATCATTCTCCCCTGAAAGCTTGCTGCCCAAGGTAGCAGCGGTTTCCAAGGTAGAACAATCAAGATAAGAATATCTGACACTCACTCCGAAATCCTGTGCGTTTCCAGCTGTACACCGCAACGATATGCTCTCGGTCCACTACTGTTTTTATTCCAACAAAATGACCTTCCAGCCAACATTTGATCCCCGATGCAAACGGCTGCAGATGATGCTCAAATTTGGAGTGTAATTCGCTCAGCATCCAACCTTGCCTGTCTCCAGAGGGATCTAAACCGGATTAACGAATGGGCAGAAAAGAATCAGCTCCCAATGAGTCCTGCAAAGTGCCATCTGATTAAGGAGTGTAGCAACTTCATCAACACGTATATTTTGGGACGGCAGGTTTTACAACAGGTGACTGGTGAAAGAGACTTAGGTATTATCGTAAAAGAAGGACCTGCCAATTCGCTCTAATGTTCGAAAACAGCGAATGTGACAAATTTGAACGAGGCTTTCGATGCGTGTTCTCGGCACTTTTGAGTGACAGCTAATACCACCGTTGGTTAACTCGCGATTAATATGCAGTTTAGGCCTAGTCCCAATGGTTAAAATGAGGCATTGATCTCCTAGGGCAGCTGCAAAGAAGAGCCACCAAGGCAGTACGTACACCATCCGAGCTCAGTTAGCAACTCTACCTCCGTTTACTCTGTATGTTGTCCTTAGAATATCGATGGCTTCACGACAATCTCATTCTCACTTATTGGATACTAACTGGAATCGAGCCCCCGTGTACATTCTGCTGATCCTACCCCCTAACAAAAAATGTCAATGTCACCACCTGTAACGAATAACGCAACACTCACCTTTCGACTGTAGAAAGTATGTTTACTCTGTTAACACCTGTTACCATTGGAATGTAATACCAACTAACTTGCTGAACGCACCATAGATAGCGACATTCGAAAGACCATTAGATTTTCAAATTAGCTACACAGCAGCGTGATAAAGTCCGAGGTATAAACTAACTATAATTCAGCATCCACGCTAAAACATTCTTGATTTCAATTTTCCTCTACAGTTTCCATCCGTTGGGCCGTGTAAAATCCCGATTTTATCCCATTATACACTATACGACTAGTGAATTATTGGACGATGGACATTCAAACTGGAAACGAGTCCAATGGGCACGTAGCCTTGTGACAGTGAATTAGCCAGCGTCTTTGCACTCTGATCTTATTTGACAAGTTTTTAGCTTGGACAACTAAACTTAATTAGACTAAACTACTACTTCCCATTTTTGGCTGACAGTGCAAGGCGTTGAGACGTGCAATACAAAATTACCTAAGCCAGATATATGCAATGTCACAAGAAGATTGGACATTGGAGTTACTGAACAGATATCTGATCCTGCTGCAGTTTGATCGGGAGATGATTCCATGCCGCTTTGGGGTGAGTTTTCCACTTTCATGATCCAAATAGCTTGTTTTTTTTACACAATCGCTGTAGTAACATCGACAACAGCAAGTCATTTTCAATGAGTCCGGTCGATAAATCATGGTTCACTAATTCAGTCATACGTCGTTATCGAAGTGCACGCTTCGCTTTTCTGGTCTATTGTAGCAAGGTCCTAACAAATTGGCGCCATCGATCTGGTATGTGTGCATTGTTCTGTGGTGGTTCTCTGGAACGCCTCATCAATCCAACGGCAATCACATGTTTTTGTAGAAACATCTTACGCTGACTTCTCTGATCAAGCATAATTAATCGCGTCTGATTGTGGCGGTTAAGTTTCAAAGTAACGATGTATTCAACTACAAACCACTCTGGTACTATTGGTTTAAGTGTGCAGAGAGTAAGGGTTTCCGAAGGAGCTTAAAAGGGTTAAAAGTTATAAAAAGCGTTTAGAAGTGAGGCCGTTTAGAAATAGTTTAATTTGCAAGATTTATATGGAATACCCTCGGAAAACGACTATATGATATGTTACATATGTCTCTTAACCTTCATGCACATTTTCTATCCCATACTAGTTTCTTGCCGCGTACCACTTCCTACAGTAAAATAGATACGGAGCGAGATAATCTCAGTTCGCAACGGTGCCTTTAGTTTTTTGATTTATGAGCTAACTGTCTGTGTGGATTACAACGTATCCTTCTAAATATGACCACGTTCGACTCTACAGAGTGTCTCGGTTGCTCCGGTCGCTAAAACGTAAGCATACGCGGATAAATATTCCTTACCGTACCTGCACAATTTCTCAAAATAGATTGACGGATAACAAACAAACAGAGGTGGGATTAAAACACGGTACCACATAGTATACCGATCGTTGGGTTTGCAGCAGTGTAATGATCGGCGAACTGAAATGCAGCAAATCAGTTTGCCCATCATATCTACACACGATTATTGCACGCCAGGAAAAGCACCGTTTCAATCATCTGGGATTCGTCAGCAGTGCACGTTTCATCTGTCCTTCGTGGGGCTCGAACCTGCAGCTCGACTGCGACCAGTCCGTAGCGAAGACCATTGGATGAATGCACACAGTTGGCTACTCCTGAAAGGATGAGACGGCTGTACAGTGCTTTTCCTGGCACGTGATGACTGTTTGATTGAGTCTAGATCTGATAAACTTCTACTTATACCATACAACCCCCTTAATATCCCACTGAAACCCTGTTTCCGTGATGTAGGTCGCTAAGATACTCAAAACGGCAGAAGGAAGAACTAGGTAGTAAAACCGTCTAATGGATTAGTCAAGAATACGAAATGCGGCGTAGTATGCAGCATCTCCGCTGACTTGTGACCGCGCCATCCCGAAACATGTAATTAAAGCACCCACCCTATCCCTTTTCAACAAACGCCTTGACGATTCTCTGTCACATTTACATTTCGTGCTATAGCCCATGACCACCAGATGCTGGCACTAATGCACAACAGACAGTGGATAGTGCCATAACCCTACTCGAGAACGGGTCACTCCAAACTCCTTGAACAAAATTTTTATGGCCCATACTACTATAGAAACTGGATTTCTGTATCCCTTCGACCCAAGGTATATGCATACGAGTAAGCGTTGTGCTTGCTCATTTTTATTTTTTTCTCGCTTGTTATGTGATCAATAACCACTCCCCTTATTGCTTTATGTGCGTACATTCTAATTTCAAACTCCCTTTATACGGCAGTGCAGTTAAATCTGTAATCGCCCGAACGGACGACTCCATTATCCCTTGATCTATCTTTTTCACTCTAAACACCCTACGGGACATGTCAAGCACCTGCTTTTTTACCCGCTATAAATCATTGTTCAAATCATTGTTCATTGTTCATATGGTACAATGAAAAATGAGTTATCAAGAGTAAGTACAGCAAGTGTTTGATAAGTCCCGTAGGATGGTTGGAGCAAAAATTAAAATTTGATGGATCATCGAATAAGTAAATTTCAAGTGTCCACCGAGTTAAATACACTACTGTATAATGATAGTTTAAAGTGGAAAAGGGATAATCACATGCAAAACAATATAAAAAGGCCGTTATGGTTCAGTAAGTGCGTGAGAAATAAAAGTGGAAATGACAACGCTCACTCGTTTGTTTCTTCATTTGACAGATGTGGTTTATTAAACCAGTTCAGCTATATCCAGGCTAATCACATGGACACTTCCGCATGTATCCTCACCTTCACGTTGCAGAGTGGGCCGCTAAGCACATGGTTAGGTTTGCGTTATTTCGTCCTCCAAGTGGAACGGACGATATCAAGTAATGCAAGTTTGAAAGCGTTTCATCAAGGCGTTTTTTGAAAAGCGTTAATGTAGGGGCAAGGATAACGTGAGTCGGAAGGGCATTCCAGGCGCAGGACACATGGAGAGAGAAAACGTTTCGCCAACAATCAAGTCGACTGCAGCAACCAGAGTGGTCAATCCTGGTAGCTCTACCAGGAAGACGACAAGCACAAACCCCAGCTGACTTTACTGTTTCTCTTCATATATCTCTACTACGTATTGCATGGCCGCCTCGAGGTTTGATGTAAATAGGCGCAACAATCTGGCTATCCTACGGGACTTGTTAGGCTTTTGTATTTTCTACCCGTAATATACCATTGCTCCATTATCCACGCTGAGACAAGGAGTTCACTAACGTATAGAACATGTAATCCACTTTCAACAGCTGTTCCCCCCACTTGATATATGCAATAGATGGCAGGCGTCGGTGATCGAGTATGGCCGCACTCTTACTGTGCTGCGTGCGCGTAGAAGTCAGGTATATTATTCGTACCGCAACAGTCGTCGCATTGCGGTGTTGTAGACATTTCCCTTAACTACTTAGCTTTTGTCTCGCCAGCTCCATGAAGGACTAATGCTTTGGACAGAAACGAGAGTCTTAGCAATATATCCGATGGTCCCTCTGATGGTGTGACGATCAGAAGTTGTACGGATACACAAAGGAATGAACCCAACGACAAATTTGGGTGGTTATTCAGCGATAGTGTGAACCACTGATGAGTCGGCTCACACCTGTCACACTACTTTACATTTCGAAGGTTCAATGACTACGCCAGATTGTATACTACTACATGTCGACTTATTCGGTAGCTTGTGTTCGTTAGCATGGTACTTGTGTCTGACCCAATGGGTTCTATGGCGTCTATATAATCTAGGTTCGAAAGTAAGTCGACTAACCAGAACTTTGATGTCAAAGGAATCTAAGGATTGCAGGAGAGCTATTCGCCATCAGTTTGATGACGAAGTTCTGGAGATAGGAAGTAACATTAAAGCTCCAGCGCCGATTATCTGTTGCGGAGAAGTCAAGAGAAAGCAGTCTGTAGAATTTCACACGGATATTGACGTTATGTGGCGCAGAAATTTACGAAAGAAGGAAATTCACTGGCACGGTTTTCTAGGTCTGGAACCACTGCAAGCAGGCACAGTCAACAGAATCAAAGGTAAACTTTTACTTGAGAAGGACTTCCATGATAACTTGTTTGTAAGTATGGCGATGCTGAAGCACCATGTGGAGTGCAACAATTTGGTCAGCGCACTCTTCATCAAAACAGGTTGATATTCACCTGCTCGTCTTGCAGGAGGATGATTAGGCCATGGTTAAAAGAAGTATCTGAACCATTTTCTAGCCGCTGGGTCAGGCGCTACTCGCTGAGCTTAATGGCTTAGTGATTGTGCTGATAGCCGCGAACCACATTGTGCAGAGTTCCACTACCCAACCAGGTTAAGTCTATCTGATTTCAATGGATCAATGCTTTTATATGAGTAAAAAAACTTATGCTTAACAGGTCCCGTAGGATGGTTATGGTGAAACTTCAAAATAAAAAATAGTGTTGGCGAAATTGGCTTTACACAGGTGACCTCATTGAAGTGTACGTAGTATAGACTGTAAATCCAAGGTAACTGCATAAGGAATGACGACAACTTGGATGTTGCCAAAAATTGTGTCTCCTGGTGTACACATAGAGTAGGTGAAAAAAGTGGAACGGAATCTGGGATTTGACTGCTAGTGAAATCTCTAAGAGACACTTGTGTTTATCCATGTGTAGTGGGTCATGTAAGATGGTGCAGCGAAATAAGTGCACGGTCAACTCGGGATATAAACTCTGCCCGCTTGGGCGCA